ATGGTCTTAATCTATGGGCCCAGAGGCTAGGCTACCAGAAATCATAAAACATTAGGAAGATTAGCTATTAAAATTGAGAAAGCTAACAAAAATAAGGGCAAAGTTACAGAGGCAAGGAATTGGTGGGTGGAAGGGAGAGGAGGGGAAAAAAAAGAGCTAGAGGATATTTGAGAGCTCAGTATCTACCTCTAAATTTCTGAGGGAAAAGAAAGTAAATTTTTAAGTCACTAGAAATACTTCACGAGTGCTTCCAAATATTTCAATAAATTACAGATATTTAAAATTAAAATAAAACTCTCATTCTACTGTCACCTACAAATAAATTTATAAAGGATAAAAAACCAACTCACCTGCCTGTCGTACTGGGAATTCCACATGGTCAGAGACTATAATCCGAAGTAAACTGGGGGCAAAATTGATAATCTTGTAGGACTGAAATTACAAAGAAATGTTTTATAAAATAGGGTAATATAAGTGAGTAGCTTATAAGTTAGCACCGGTTACTGAATACATTACTGTCCAAATAGAAGAAAAACTTTTAAACTGAGACAAACCCTTCAAGGCAAAATGAAGATTACTAAAATACTTCAAGTCAAAAAATTTTCCTGAGCAGAAACTGAGGAATAAAAGAATATGAACACTTTTATGATTTTTTTTTAACATATTGTCAGAATGGTCTCCAGAAGGAGTATACCAATTTACACTGCCAACAGCAGCATATGATAATGTCCATCTATCTAACACAGGTATCATCATTCCTTTGAAACTTTAATGTTTTATTAATATTCTCAATTGCATTTTCTCTATTACTAAGGAAGTTAGATGTTTCCCTCTTTGTTGGCTGTTTTTTCTACAAATTCCTTACTCCCTTTATCCTTTTGTAAATGGAGTATTTGCTTTATTCTTGAGAAATGCTAAGAGCTATTTATGAATTTAAAATCTCAATCTTTTATTTGACCTATACACGGCAAGTATTTCTTCCTAGATCATTTGTGCTTCAATTTTGTTTATGGTATTTTTGACAAACAGAAAACAAAAAAACAAAGGCTACAGGAAATAGGAGACCTAATAGAGCAAAACAGAGTAGATAATGTTACATAGTTGAGCATGAGCAATGGAGAGAAGCCAATCCAGATTGGAACAGTGTGACTCAAGAGACGGTGTTGAGCGCTCTGTCATCACCAGCTGCCCTCTACTGCTGTACTATCTTTTAAACTTAATGCCTAAGTCAGTCTGTGGGGATGAAGTTCCTGCTCTGCCCTGTGACCTGAGTCACTTCACCCCACAGGTGTGCTCTACTTTGATCTGCTCCTGAGTTTGGGACCTTCAAAGCAAAAAAAAAATGCAGAGCATCCACTCCTTCTGATCACATTATATCCAGATGTACAGTACCTGGACTATATTACAGTCCTGTCACATTCCAGAGTCCACATATGCCTTTGTCCACTGACATTCATTTGAAAAGACTCAAATTCCACTGAGGCCAAACCAGACAATGACCCAGAGAGTCTGTTTAGCCCACCCCACTCCTCAGAGCCTGGATCTGCGGGGGCATCCCTTTCAATACACAGCTAGGTTTGGGCGTACTACTCATTTTTTAAATTAGGATAGCATCTGTGAAGGTAAATGTTTGATTACAAAATTAATTTGGAGACAACTGGCATTTTAAAAGTATTAATCCTTTTCATCCAAGAACATTGTGCTTTTCAAATCTTTCTATATCCTTCAAAAACATGTGAATGATAATTGTTCTTCCTTTCATCCTGTGTAGTCTTCAGATCTCAAATCTGTGGCATGCAAATTCTTTTTTATCCATAATTCAAACCATCAGAATTTTAAAGCAGTTTTTAAGAAAACAGATTTGTTCCAACAACAGTTGATAGGAGGCAAAATTAATACAGATTCACCCAGCCTTCACCTTCTACATATGCATTATAACTCATGTTTACAACTTTCTAAATACTGAAAGATCTTGTCATGAATCGAAGATTAAAACATCTATATAGTTTATTCTAATCATAAAAAAACTGACTTCCATTATTTGTTTAAAAATCTTATTCCACACATACAAAATAACCTTTACACCTAAATAAATGCTACTTATTTGAAAGTAATATACCTATTGCAGAGACTACTTTTATTTCAACACTGTTACCATTGTACATATTTTGAAACTCCCCTTTTTGCAACTGTCTGCCATTTTTTAAAATGTCAGAAACCTTGTCTTCTTTCAGCATTGATTCATTCTATGTTAGCTTGGCCAGCTAAAACATTCAGAGATAAAATCAGATATATTTTCATACTACTTTACTCAGAAATAGTTACCCAATTTCTTTGTGCCTCTTCAGGCTTCGAGTTTCTAAAAAATAAATAAGACTAATTTCTCAATGATTTCCTGAGGATATTTGGTATCTGTGAAGTTTTCTGCAAAGAAGCAGTTTGCTTAACTAAATGCTGCATTTATGAGAACTCAAAGCAAAAAAACTGATGTCTCCTCCCATCCTCTGACTCACTGCTCTGCTGCATTAACCTTTCTAGTCCTCCAGCACGCCCAGTTGAGGGCCTTTTCTGAACCATTATTCCCTCTCAGTCCTCCAGCACATCAAGTTGAGGGCCTTTTCTGAACCGTTGTTCCTTTTAGTTCTTTGCCTGCCCCATTCCTTCACAACATCCAACTCTCTACTCAATGCCATTCTTCAGAGAATGGCTATACATCCCAACACTCCTGCTTGGGCTTTACAGCACTTACGACCTGAAATTATATAAGTTACTTGTCTATATCCCCAGCTCCATGGGAACAAACTCTTATACCAATATCTGCAATATATTAACTCAATAAATATATCCGTGCTATTATATAAACAAATTATCTTAATAAAGAGTAATGCGAATGCCATGTACACATGCATGGAAAGCAGATATTCCAAAGCTTGGCGATGAAAGTAAAAACTCATTTCCCTACCGAGGCCATGTGAAGGATAATTTATTAAAAGACAACACCTTTCTGGATGAATTACTTCAGCAAAGTACCTACCCATTCCTATTCCTCTATGCTGCCACTAGTGGGACTTCTGGTCTATAGAAAATGAGAAAGACGTATAGGGTTCACTCTTAATATCCTGAGATAAAACTAAAACTACATTTTCCCATAGAAACAATATCACAAATAGCAGTCGGAAAACTAGTCACTAATAACAGAAAAATGCTGGCCTGAAAAAAATATATAGCTCCAAATGAGAATTTATCCATTGGAACACAGGCTATTGTGCAGAAGCTGCTTACTTTTCTAAACGGCAATTGACAGATCCATCAGTATACCGCAGAAGCTGCTCCCATTCCCTATGCAGAGCATACTGCTAAGGGGAGATCTAGACTAAAGTCAAAGAGGTGGACCGTAACCACTTATGGTGATTTACCCACCCATTTATCCAACAAAGTCGGATGTTACAGTGGTGGCAAAGGACAAGCATGCAAAACCCATCATTATAAGCATGTTTTACTACATGGTTAGGTGACATTATATTTTGTTCTACTTACAGCCAATTCAAAAAACCTTAAAGCATTTCACTATGCTTTATGTAAAATATAAATGCTGAAAGAGTGTTATAGCAATAAGCTACCTTTAGAAATTGCTGGGGAAATCACGGTCTGTGATGAGGTGGGACACTATGGGGCAGGGCAGAGTGATGATGGAATGGATTTGGACAGAACTACCATCAAGAGTCTATGGCCATACCACCCTGAATGTGCCTGCTTTTGTCTGAAATACCATGGAAAAAAAATAGGACTGGGTCTTAAATGTTTCCTAGTTCTGCCGGCTTTCTAATGTACTTTTTCCACTTCTATAACATCAACTGTACTTATATACTGATGAATCAGAAAGAAATGAAGGTTAGGTGAAGGACAGGGAAGTGTAACCTGATATCAAAGGAACACCTGGCCTCATTGTGAGAAGGGGGTCATAAACAGGCCAACTCCCCTGTTCATACTAGTAGACTGCAGATTCAGCTCGTTTTGTTCTTCCTAACTAACCCCTGGATTACTATTCTTCCAGCCAGCCAACATACAGTACTTTTACTCTGCAAAGTCTGGGACAGATACTGACTTTAACTTCCCGCTATTCTAAGTGACAGTCCATTTCTTTTAGAGGCACCAATACATCATCTTAGGGCATTAGTTCAACCCAACCTCCTCTCCATTGGCAGTGTTTTCACTCTCCTTTTTATCTCTGGGGAATCCTGCATTCACACCTACTCCAAACTCCACCTAGATTACCTATTAAAATAATCCCTTTCAAAGATTCCCAACACGCAGCTGCCTTTTAAAGTCAATTCCAACAGAAACATTTACTTAGGACAATCACACTTTAGTCACACTTCCGGAGGCACAGAATCACCTGGGGGAGCTAGTTAAAATACAACTGGCCCCACCCCCACAGTTTCTGATTCTTTAAGTCTGGACTGAAGCCCCATAATTTGCATAATTTGTAAGTTCTCAGGTGATGCTGAAGCCCCAGGTCCTGGGCAACTCTTTGAGAACGCTGATTTTGGAATATTTACATTTTACAGGTTATCACAACCTAAAACAGCTATTGCTCCATCCCAGGGGTAGCTCTTAATTCCTACTTTTTAGTAAGGGGTCTATGATTCTCAAGTACCGGTAGGGAAGAAGAGATAAGCTAGAGTTTGGGGTCATTAAAATTTTGAAGTGTGGGGGTAACGCTGGAAAAACGTCAAGGCTAATCAGGAAGAACAGGAGACGGAGGAAAAAAGAAAAGTCTTACACATTTTAGCATTTATAAGAAATTTCTCCAAACACATCTTGGTTTAATGTGTCTTAGATAAAGCAGTACCACCATGAAAACTGCCTATTCTCCCCAGAGCACTCTCCCAACAGCACTGCCCAGCGCTCCGCAAAACTCGGCCAATCAGTGTCAAAACAGTCCTGCCAACCCGACAGGAGGAGGCGGTGGGCAGAGTGCTCCACAGCAACACCTAAAAAGGGCTGGGTTTGGAGAAAAGATGAACTCAGATTTGAATTGTAAGTAAAATTCCCACCTGCTCCCCAAGTCAGCGCACTTAAGGAAAAGATATCACATCCTGAAAACACTAACACAGGTTGCAAAAACTGCTTCTTGCGGACCAAGTGGGCTGAACAAACTGCACTGGAGAAGGAAGACGACACGAAAAGGTGCAAAGGTGGCCAACAGGTGCGCGAGCTGCTCGGCAAAGATCCTGGGAGCCCTGCTCCACTGGACCGGGGGGGTCAGTGGGGGCGGAGGGCGGGACCCGCCGTGAGGCGTCAGCCCCAGCCTGGTGGGGGTGAGGACGAGGGACGCCGGGGAAAGGGAGCCCGGCCAGCCGGCAGGGGCGCCGCTCAGGCGGAAGAGGGGCGCCGAAGGCCCTCTCCTCACCTGGTTGAGTTCGTTCTCGGCTGCAATCCGCAACTTCGGGTCGATGGTGCCCTTCAGCGCCTGGATGATCCGATTGAGGTCCATCTCCCCGGGTGGGGGCTCCGCGGCCCCCGGACCAGTAGGCCGGACTGCAGCTTTAGTTTTCTTTTGACCCTCTCAGCCTCCTCTTCCGCGACCCCTGGATTACCTCACACCCCAATCCCCGCCACCGTCGCCACCTGCGGCCACTTGCTGCGCCACTCTGACTCCGCGCCCCCTGTCCTCCCTTTTTCCCCCCCACAACTCGCTCTCCATTCACCCTTTTACGACAGCCGGTGGGAGGCGGGAGAAGGAAGAAGAGGAAGCAGAGCTTCCTTTACGGCGGCCTCTTCCCCCTGGCGTGATGCTATGACCGCCTCCCGTTGGCGGCCGCCATGCTGCTGTACGGAAAGCGGCCTCGGCTTCTTTCCCTAGGAGGAACCTGCGCTCCCGAACTCAGGCAGGCGGCCGCCATGCTTCCGTACGATTAACAGCCTCCCTCCTCTTCCCAGATGAGGAAACTTGAGCTGGCCGGGAGTCTCCTTACAGCTGCTTCCAAATTAAGCATATCTGGATGGTGTGACACTTTTTGTTAGTCCGAGAACTGTATGGGCATCGCAACTGGGCCTGTTTCAAGACAGACTTGTTGGAACCTTCAAATCATGTACCTTACAGGTGAGCAGGGTTCCTCCGTGTGTGGGAGTCATCATTCATTCATTCGCTTTCACTGAACATTTGTTAAACATTTATTTTTGAACCAGAGTACTAGAATTTTTAGGTACCACATTATAACAAGATGAATTCCATGCAAGTTAATGTGAAGGAACTCACAACCTGATAGATGAGACAAATATAAACAAAAAAAATTTACAGTGTAGAAATAATAGGGGAGTGCTGGGAATAGAAGAGCGTGGTCCCTTTAAATAATAGGGATGGGGGAAGTGAAGTGCTGGGTAGAGGAGAGTGTGGTCCCTGGCTAGGTTTCCACCCCCACCGACCTAGGTGAGGACTGGCACTCCAGCCTTCGGGCCCAAATGTTGCATTTCCCAAGACCACCCTGGCCTGCCACTCCCCCATCCTGTGCCTATGAAAACCCCAGACCCTAGCAGGCAGGCATACAGGCAGCCAGACGTCCAGAGGAGCATAAGGGTGGAAGAAGAGGAGCTCGCTGGCACATCCGCAGACCATCCATGGGCAGAAGGATGCGGAGTTTGGCCCGGGCAGTCGGAAAAGAGCCCGAGGAAAACCATTTCCTTTCTAGGCCCCTCATCTGCTGAGAGCTACTTCCACTCAATAAAACTTTGCACTCATTCTCCAAGCCCACGTGCGATCCAATTCATCTGGTATACCAAGGCAAGAACCCAGGATACGTAAAGCTTGCTGTCCTTGCGACAAGGTAGAAGGTCTAATAGAGCTGGTTAACACAAGCTCCCTCTAGACAAACTAAAAGAGCAGCCTGTAACACACACCCACTGGGGCTTCAGGAGCTGTAAACATTCACCCGTAGACACTGCCAGGGGGTCGGAGCTCCACAGCCTTCCCGTCGTGCCTCTAGAGGTCTGAACAGCGGGGCACTGAAGAAGCAAGCCACACCCCCCATGCACGCCCTGTGAGGGGGACAAGGGAACCTCTCCCATTTCAGAAAGATAAAGGTCACAGAAACTGAAAATTACATGCCTGAGAGTTTTATGAAAAATTTTCAGACCTTCTCAAAAATGTAGTGAAAGGTAAGGAGAAAAGTTATACTATTTCTATCCACTGTGGCCATATCTGGCGCCACAATTTCAATGGCATGAAAATATTAAGGAGCTAGTTTTTCCTGAGGTTAAGCCAGAAGCGAGGGTTCTAATTATATTTAGTAAAGATGATGATGTGGGCAAAACACAGCTGAGGGGACATGATCTTTTCTGGAGCAGGTAATTAAGATAGATTGGGTCAATTAACTGAGTTCAATCGACAGAGTAGAAAACATGTGGCTGAAAACTTGGTGGCTTGAAAGCTTCCCCCTCAGTTGGATGCAAAAGTGCTTCGCAGTGAATTTAACATGTCTAATTGCTTCCAGTATTGCCCCTCTTTAATCCATTATTCACACTGTCATCAAAAGAAAGTTTCTGAAAGGTTAATATTGCTATGTCTCTTCCTTGATTTCTCATCAATTTCAAGATAAAATAGAAACTCCTTAGCACTACAGAGTCTTACGAACAAACACTGTTTCACTAAACCACTCTCTTAGACATCATGATTGTCTAAAATTTTTTTTTTACCTCTGAAAATCTTAACTCCAATATCCTCTTTTATAATTAGAACCAATTCTTCCATTTCTCTCTTCCTCAAAAATTCTAAGCTTATTTTCTAACTCAATCACTATTTCAGTTCTTAGTCTATCCATTACTCACTACACATCATTTTCTGCTATTAAGCCCCCAATTCAGCTTCTTAACTCTAGCCTTCACCCACTGTGCAAACTGACATCACTACAAATGTGTGTTCTTTAATCAGACACAACCATCCTATTCCTTGCCTTTAATCAGCACCATTTTCCATTCCCTCAGTGGCGTTTCAACTCTCAGAACTCTTCTCAAGCTCCCCACACCTTCTCACCGAACCCTGCAAAGATGAGCAAAGCCCTCAGGCTCAACTCAACAACAAATTCATCTCTGCTTACCCCTCTCATCTCCTTTCCAGTCTGAACCCAATTCTCTCCCATCTCCTCCAGGACCCTGTTACATAAATCTCTCCTCCCTTAAATACATTTTTTCACTAAAATAAATTTTAGTCATTATAATGTGCTCATTGTTGACAATGTGTAAGTTTTTTTCCTACCTTTTCAGTCTCTTTCCCTCCACTGATTCAACCTTGGCCTAAAAACATTTCCCCTAGCAAAAAAATAATCTTCAGTAATGCTAATTATTGCTCATTCTTTTCCTCTTCATTCCAAAGAATGGTCTTCATTCATTGTGTCAGCTTACTTCCTATTTATGCGTCAACCACCTATCCCCAGGTTTCTCCCCATCATTTCCCACTGAAACTGCCAAGCAAAGATGAACGCCGACCCCTTTAGGGGCATACCAAATGCAAGAGACATTTTTAGTTCTCATCTTAAATTCTCTCTCTCTCTCTCTCTCTCTCTCTCTCTCGTGTGTGTGTGTGTGTGTGTGTGTGTATAGAGAGAGAGAGACAGAGAGAGACCGAGAGAGACTGAGAGATTGGGGGAGGGTGTCTCACTTCCATTGCCTAGGCTGTAGTGCAGAGGCATGATTACTGCTCACTGCAACCTCAACCTCCTGGGATCAGGTAATTCTCCCACTTCAGCCTCCCGAATAGTTGGGACTACAGGCGCATGCCACCACACCTGGCTTTATTTTTAGTAGAGACAGGGTTTTACCACATTGCTCAGACTGGTCTTGAACTGCTAGGCGCAAGCAATCTGGCAGCCTTAGCCTCCCAAAGTGTTGGGATTACAGGTGTGAGCCACCACACCCAGCCTCTAATATCTGGTATCATATTTCGTAATATTTTTAAATTACCTCTTTTCTTGTTTTCTCTTACAGAATACATTCCTAATCCTTTGTTTACTCAATCGCCCAACTCTTTGACGCTTCTCAGGACTCTGTCCTCAGCCGTCTTCTCTTTCTCATCTACCCATTCTTCAGTCATTTCATCCACTTATATAACTTTAACCATCAACTAAACAAAGACAGCTTACAAAACTGGTTATCAGATCTATCTCTTCCCTTAAACTAAATATATCCAAATGCCTATTACATTTCTACCAATATCTATCCCCCAAATCACTTAAGGCACATGTCTAAAACTGAACTCAGATAGCACTAAAGATGATAGTTTGGAGAAGGGAGAGACTTAAATCAGTTATTCCAATAACATAAAAGGAGAGATCAAAAACAGTGACACCAGCAAATGCTGGTGAGGATGTACAGAAACTGGATCACTTACATGTTGGTGGTAACATGTACAGTGGTACAGCCATTCTGAAAACAATTGGGCCGTTTCTTTAAAAAACTGAATATGCAACTACCATATGACCCAGCAATTGCACTCCAGAGCACTCGTCCTAGACAAATGAAGACTTGTGCTCATAAAAAAAAAAAACTTTGTGAGTGTATATGCAGCTTTATTCATCATAACCCAAATCTGGAAACAATCCAGATATCCTTCAGTGGGTGAATGGTTAAATAAACATGGTACATCTATACCATGGGATACTACTGAGCAACAAAAAGGAATGATGCATGCAACAACCTTGATGAATCTTCTGAGAATTATGCTGAGGGAAAGAAGCCAATCCCAAAGGTTGCATCTTGTCGAACACCATTTATATAACTTTCTTAAAACTAAAAAAATATAGAACGATCTATGGTTGCTAAGGGTTAAAGTGGAGGTGGTGGCAAGGGGGAAGTGGGTGTGACTATAAAAGGGCAATATGAGGAATTCTGATGATGGAAATGTTCTGTAGCTTGACTGTATCAATGTCCATATCCCAGTTGTGATGTTGTACTATAGTTTTACAAGATGTTACTGTTGAAGGAAACTGGAAAAATGGTACATAGGATCTATCTGTATCATTTCTTACAACTTCATGTGAATATACAATTATATCAAAATAAAAATTTTACTCAAAGTACGTAATTAAAAAGAGCTGATGTTCCCATGAAAACTTTGAATGTTTTCGACAGACTCACTGAAGACAAGTTATTCAAATACAATGCCATCAAATTAGGGGTGGCCAAGAAAATAGGAAAGATCAGAAAAAGCCATGAGCTCTCAGATTTTGATCTCAGATTTCTTGGCAATTGTCTTAAAATGGCTTTCCCTAAACTATAATTTATGTTCACCTTACATATGACTCATTGTTTGAATCATTTTTTTCACTTTGCATAATGAGAGGATTTCTATACTTATTGATGCCCTCAGCTCATTTCAGGTATAATTTGAACCAATGATATTGTCTTGTATTATCATGGTTTGAAATATGCCTCCCCTCTCTGTGCCTGTTTCTTCATCTGCTTCCAAGAACTGTTGTGGGGACTAGATGAGATAAACCCATGGGACATGTGCAATAAATACATCGTTATAGTCTATTTAAGAGAAGAGAGGCCCTATCGAAAATTGCCGAATCAGACATCATCTCACACATAATAAACAATCCATCAGTACTGGCTGAATGAGTACGTGAATACATGTGAGAGAGAAGGGGTCCAAAACAGGATATCCACAGTAGGCATGAAGGTCAACAGATATAAGCCATTTCACAGGAAGAATCAACAGTAATTTGTGATGGGTTAGGTATACAAAGTAACTAAGGTAAGTCAAGAACAATTTTAAAGTTTCAAGCTTTTATGACTTATGGAAGTCATTAACGAGGGAAAACATAACTAGATTTTGGAGGAAAGATGAGTTAGCCTTTGGATGTGTTGAACTAGAAGTGCTTATAGTTTACATGGCTAGAGATTTCCAGTGAACAACTCATCAATGAGCTGAGTGAGGAGGCAGGAAGCTGTGGCCAGTGGAAGAGGAATAAATAAAGGGATGGAGTTAAGAGAGCTGTAAGTCTTATGTGCACACAGGGCAGTTGACATCATAGAAGTGGATGGCATTACTCTAGAAATAAAGCATACAGAATAACTGGCATGATTACAGCTTAAATTACAGCAAGTAAATTTTACTCCAAGCGCTGATACTGTGGACTTTTTTGAGATTTAACATTTTAGTCATCTAAATGGAATATCACACAGCTGTCCTCCCCATCTGTTGGCAGCCGTTTATCTGTTGGTGTGTGTTAACAAGCTTGAATCTAATCCATAAAGAGAAAATGAGAGTTAAAAACCAACACTTAAAAATCCTATCTGTAAGTTTAATAATGCATCTCTTAAATACTATAAAGTTTATCATTAAAAACCTCTGCTCCAAGTGTCTATACTGAGCAGCCAGGTGAGTGGCTTACACCCAGAATTCTAGCACTTTGGGACACCAAGGCAGGTGGATCACTTGAGGTCATGGGTTCAAGACCAGCCTAGTCAACATGGTGAAACCCCGTCTCTACTAAAAATTCGAAAACTTAGCCAGGTGTGGGGACACATGCCTATAATCCCAACTACTTGGGAGGCTGAGGCAGGAGAACCACTTGAACCCAGAAGGCAGAGATTGCGGTTAGCTGAGATCATGCCACTGCGCTCCAGCCTGAGTGACAGAGATGCTGTCTCAAAAAAAAAAAAAAAAAAAAAAGAAGTCTATACTGGCAGAGGTCTATATCATAAGCACGTGAAATACAGCTGCTCGTATGCCCAAGGGATTGGTTCCAAGACATCCATGTATACCCAAATCCGTGTATACTCAAGTCCTCTAGTCAGCCCTGCAGAACCCCAGGATACAAAAAGTCAGGCCTCCTTTATATTTGGATTCCATATCCTGCGAAAATTGTATTTTCTATTGGCATTTGGTTGAAATTACATGTAAGTGGACCTGCGCAGTTCAAATCCATGTTGTTCAAGAGTCAACTGTAAATGTGAGAGTATACATACACACATATATATATGAATTTATAGAGAGGAATTTATATATATAATATAGAGAGAATATAAAATACATAGAAATTGTTAAGAGGAATTTTTAAAAAACAAAAAATCAGTGATACATAAGCTAAAGTAATAGGAGTTACAGCAATGTTACAAAGTTTCTAAACAGAAGCTAGCAACTTTCTTCTCCAGAGGCTACAATGATAGCAGTGTTGGGAAAGGATGCAAGGTACAAATAGTAGTATTAACTAGGACAGAAGAAAAAATATTTACTTTCAAGTAAATTTGTCTTCAACATGTTTCTTCATCTCCTCGGGCTTTCCACTTTTCATATTGAAAAAGAGGCCATCCTCTTCCTCAGCTTCAGGACCTCTTGAGAAACTATGACTTAAGAAACCTCAACTGAATGGTTCGTATAGTTCACAAAGTGTCTACTTTGCCATAGTGCACCAAAAGCATATGAGTGAAACAGCAGTGGAAAATATGTTAACAGCTGCAGCACTAGAGAGCTAAAGGAGATACTGCAGAGAATGTTGCACTGTATTTGGACTTGAGAGAGCTAACTCTAACTCAGCACTTCTGATAATGGCCTTAGAAAGTCAATCTCCAAGAGTTTCCATTTTCTTATCCCCTAAAACAATATCCACCTCACCAGGGCCACTGTCAGGAAAAAGTAAGTTTACACATATGGGCCAGGCCTGGTGGCTCATGCTTATAATCCCAGCAATTTGGAAGGCTGAAGCTGGTGGATCGCTTGAGCCCAGGAATTCAAGACCCGCCTGGGCAACATAGTGAAACCTCATCTCTAAAAAACCCCCCAAACAGCTGGGCGTGGTAGCTCATGTCTGTAACCCTAGCTCTTTGGGAGGCTGAGGTAGATGGATCAGTTGAGGTCAGGAGTTCAAGACCAGCCTGGCCAACATGGCAAAACCCCGTCGCTACTAAAAATACAAAAACTTAGCCAAGCATGGTGGTGCATGCCTGTAATCCCAGCTACTTGAAAGGCTGTGAGAGAATTGCACAAACCCAGGAGGCAGAGGTTGCAGTGAGCCAAGATCACACCACTGCACTCCAGCCTGGGTGACAGAGCAAGACTCTGTCTCAAAAAAAATGAAAACAAAAACAATTTCCCAAAAATTAACTGGGTGTGGTTGTGTGCACCTGTAATCCTAGCTACACAGGAGGCTGGGTCAGGAGGATCACTTGAGCCCAGGAGGTCGAGGCTGCAGTGAGCCATGATCACACTACTGCACTCCAGCCTGGGGGGACAGAGTGAGACCCTATCTCAAAAAACAACAAAAAAGTTACATATATGGCAGTACTTTGTAAAGTATTAAGTGAAATGCAAAAATTAGTGTAATGTGGATAATACTTAGGCTTTTAAATACTTAGGCTTTTTTTTTTTTAAAGTATTATCTCAGACTTGATAATTTAAAAAACCCTTAAACTCTATCCAAAGAAAGACAGGAAGAGTAGGTATCATAGCAATCTACCATTTTATCTCTTAGTTTAAAATTTTTAACAAAAAAGTGATATATACCTTTTAAGTTCTACAGTAAAGTTCAGAATGAAAAGCAAGTCTTCCTCCCGCAACAAGTCCCAAACCCTTTCCTTAAAGCCATCACCTTCAAATTTCTTGTACCTCCTACCAGAAAAGAAAAAAGTTCAAGCAATCAGATACATGCTTTTAAGATTTTTCAGACAAATGAGATGTTATCAATTCTGTTCTACTATTTTGTAGCGCAAATTCCTAGCAGTGGAATTTCTAGGTCAAGTGTGTGTGTGTGTGTTTTCTGGCTCAAAAGTGTGTGTGTGTGTTTTACCTTCACAGTCATCACCAATTTACTCTCTAAAAATATACTTATTCCAAACTAAAGCATGAATGCCCATTTCCCCACATCCTTGCCAAAGTGTGTGCCTTAAAACCTTACATATGCTTACTGAAAATGTTTTCATGTATTAACTGCCTCTTCACATCCATTGCCCTTTTTTATTTATTGATTTCCTCCCACTGCAGGTGGCCATTTTGTCTTTTGACGTTGATATTTTCCTCCAATCAAAAGTCTTGTGGGAATAAATTCTGTGTTTAATTTATCCTTATGGCCTCTGCGTTTTGTGTCCCACTTATAATGCTCTTCCATACCCCTACATTGGTGTTCCCTACCCTGGCAAAAAATAATGCTATCATGAAGCCCCAAATGAGTAAGCCTTACCTTTTACATTCAAGCTTCCAGTCATCTTTTTAGTGACCCATTCTTTTTTTTTTTTTTTCCCCCTGTTTTTTCCCCTTCATTTTAATAAACACTTTACAAAGTACAAAATATACTATCTTTTGGGGAAAACATTAGGTACTTTTTTCTCTCCATCATACAGTTACATGAATCTCGAGGGCTTTGTGTTTCTTCAACAAGAACATAAGCATGAAGGCCCCAGGAGGTTAGGATAGGATGGTCAATTCTCCCCTTCACCTAGACCTTGGGACCAATGAAGCATCACTGCTATGGACGGTGACCTGTGCATGCCAAGTGAGGGCCAGAGGGGGCCATGGGCAGGCAGGAAGTCCTCCTATTTAGCTTTAATGATCAGTGTTCCATTGTGAGCCTTATGATAACTATGTTATTTTATGTATTTTAAAGGTGAAACAATTGTTAGCTAAGATGGGGTTCTGGACAGGGCCCCTCAGAGCTCCACCACGCACCCACGGTCCACTCGTCCCCATCTCTCAAGATACATATAAATGATTTTGGCATACAGCAAGATGAAGGCTTGGAACTGTTTCGCTCTTAGCACCCTAATGTTGTGGAGCCAACTCTGCTCAACTCTTCCTGGACCATCTTCTGAATGTAGGTAAACTGAGGCAGTGGACAGGAAAATGTACTGAGCTTGGGCTGTCTTGAAACCTGAATTTAACCTGCTTTTCACCCCACACCAGAGTTGGGGTCTCCAACTTTCTTGGACACCCTTCCAGGATGACCCCCAATAGGTGTGGGGTTGGTACTCCATTCTTAAACAGTCAGCCAATTATCAGAAGATTCTGAGCAAATAGAACAATGCAGATAAGTGAATGGAATAGAAAAAGTGTAGTAAATGGACTACTTAGGGCAAAAAATCTTTTAAAAACCTATCCTTAGAGTAATGAGAAAATAACACAATCATGAAACAAGAACAGAATACATACACAGTTGGCCCTCCATAGCCACAGGTTGCCCACATCCACAGACAGAAAATACTTGGAGAAACAGGATGCTTGCTTCTATACAGAACATGTACAAACCATTTTTTCTTGTCATGATTCCCTAAACAATCCAGTATAACAACTATTTACATAGCATTTACACAGCATTAGATATTATAAATAATCTAGAAATGATCTAAAGTATACAGGAGGATGTGTGGAGGTTTTTGGCAAACACTACTCCCTTTTGTATCAGGGACTTAAGCATTTGCAGATTTTAGTATCTGTAGGGGTCCTGGAAACAATCCCCCATAGATGCTGAGGGACAACTGTATGTAATGAACATTCGGGTAACAGGTCTACTTAGAGATTTTGAATGTTAATGAAAATTTAAAACTTCATAAAAAGGTAGGATGATAAAGTCAAGGAAATCTCCCAATAAAAATCAGAAACAAGAGAAAAGATAAGAAAGTTAAAGAAGTGATCCAAAAATCTAGTTTTTGAATAGTAACATTTTCAGACAGACAGCAGGAAAAGTGTGATAAAAATTAAATGAATAATTAAAGAGACTTGCTCTCGGTGAAATGGACATACCTGAGGTGTCTGAATATTTGAATGTCATTCATCTTTGTAGTCCCAGAGTCAGATACAAATCAGATAACCCAAATATTTGAAAGACTAATCATTACCAAAGTTTGGGGTCTTTGAAATAAAATGAATAAAGGAATAATGCTTGAGAAACAGAATTAGTAAGGCTAAGTCCTCTTAGTATTAATATTGAATACAAATATTTTATAATCTAGCATTCAGTATCTTGCACTGGTAGCAAGTGAGCTGTACCTGGAAGCTGTCACCACTTGCCCAAAAGCTGAAAAATGAGAACCAAGCTACTGTGTGGCCTAATCAAAAAGTTGTCAGTAAGAACACCCCTGATATAGAGTAGCAAATAGAGCAACTAGAGAGCTAAATTTTTCATCAAAATTATTTGTAAGTATTTGGCAGAGAAGTGATACAGACAAACGTTAGACAGGGTCTCACTCTGCCGCCCAGGCTGGCGTGCAACGGCACAATTACAACTCACTGCAGCCTCAATGCCCAGGCTCAGGTGATTCTCCCACTTCAGCCTCCTGAGTAGCTGGGACTACAGGGGCACGACACCACACCCAGCTTATTTCTTGTATCTTTTTGTAGAGACCAGGCTTCACCATGTTGCCCAGGTTGGTCTAACTCCTGCGCTCAAGTGATCCACCCACCTCGGATTCCCAAAGTGCTGTGATTACAGGGATAAGTCACCATACCTGTGTATATGCTAACAATTGTTTCACCTTTAAAATACATAAAATAACATCATAGTTATCATAAGGCTCACAATGGAACACTGATCATTAAAGCTAAAGAATTTAACTGTGCAAACAGGAAAGATTAAGAGTATAAAAACACAGTATGTGATGTCATAGGATTGTAAAAATAAAGCTATTATGGAATTGAGAAAGGTAAACAAAAATGGGATGGTTGACAGATAACTAGTACAGGAAACAAGCAAACCTCTCAAAAAACATCCTGCTTTAAATGCCTGCATTTACTCAAATCATTTTAGAGGAAGTAAGAGTCAGCGGCTTACAACTTTGGATGTAGGGAGGAGACATCACTTAATAAAGGACTAAAAAACTTAAAGAAAAAACTCTGAGGAGAATCGAGTAAACAGGAAACTTATTTTACCTCCCTCATCTCTGCTTTTAGTAAAACAACTAAGTATTTGTATATTCAGATAATTATATGGAATAATTATATGGAATGTCTCTCCATGTCAGCCATATCTACAATAAGATCTTCCCAGCAAAATAGAAGTTCTTTCCACCAGGTCCATAAATGGACTTTAGATATCTCTGGATTCCTACTCTCTTACAAATGTATGTAAATTCTGTGTATGTGCACATCTTTCTGTAAAGACGTCTTTTAGTTATAGCTTCCAGAACTAGCTTCAAAAAGTTACACTGCTTCAGAATGAAATATCTTGTCCATTCATTAAGTCAAAATATGTCTACTTCATTATCTTTATACCTAGCCAAGTAACATTTCAAATACTCTCCTATGACTCTTATCATAGGGGGATACCCTAAGTGATGAATCTCTTGATGTTGGACACTTACCTTAAAAAAAATACAAAGAGTTGCCCAAAATATTTTAAATAAACATTGTGTGTATAAGAAAAAGACTACGCTGAAGGCCTTAATGCAGTAGGAAAATCATCGCTACAGAAAGGCCCTACTGAACTTGATCACCTGCTGTTCTTAAACATCACATTTCCCCCTCCATCATTCAATCATATTACCACTTTTCTACATGCTTTTTAGTTGTGTTGTGGACATAAAAGCCATGAGCTAATTTTTTTTTAACTGGAATACTATTATCCCTACCCTACAAAGTTCCTACCATAAGCTGAAAAAGTTCTGTGAAGTACTGAATCAAATCACATCTTGTATCTTGAGAACACTATACTAGCATTTAACACCATGGAGAGAGAAACATGGCTTCAGGGTGTAACTGCTGAACCCAAACCCAGCTCAAAAATATTAACCGTAATAAACGTAATGCTCTTATACCATTTTCCTGAGATTACTCAATACCTCAAAGAGGAGGATCAAAACAATTATTGTAGGAGTTCAGACAGGGTGGTGGAAGAAATTATAAGAGGAAATTATAGAAAGCAGCAAACCTTGTTGGAAGGCCAGGTTTTGCAAAAGCTTCAAAAGAAAATTTGGCTGAAGACAGCTGAATTCTCTTTAAAAATTAGGTTAGATAACAAGGGGATGTAAAGGAATTGGTCTAGATTAGTTTACTTAGGCCTTGGAACCTGGCCTTTAATCATTTACGCACAGGACTGCTCTCTTGGTGGGCAGGGGAGTGGAGCGGGCATGCTAATTACCCAAAAGTGTGTTGACTCAAAGACTTTGTCATTAAATCTGTACTAAATAAATACAAGCAATGCCAGCTTATCGGGGCTTCACTCTCGCTGGACTCTCTTGTCAGTGGTGCCAAGCAGTGAAGTCCTCTATTCGTGCTGTCAGGCAAAATACCTGTGTCAGCATACATTTTTTCATCCGTTGTTCAGCCAGGGTCTGTGGGTCAGACCAAGCAAATTATTTTCTGCCTCAGCAGATTACTTGCTTTAGTTAATGTGTAATAACGCCCTTCTCCAACCCTTAATATAGTCCTGAAAATGCAACCAAAATGCTCACTTTAAAAAAATAGATAGATATATTTTTTTGAGACAGAGTCTTGCTCAGTCACCCAGGCTGGAGTGCAGTGGCATAATCTCGGCTCACTGCAACCTCCCTCTCCCAGGTTCAAGACATTCTCCTGCCTCAACCTCCCGAGTAGCTGGGATTACAGGAGCCCGCCATCACACCTGGCTAATTTTTGTATTTTTAGTAGAGACAGGGTTTCACCATGTTGGCCAGGCTGGTCTTGAACTCCTGACCTCAGGTGATCTGCCCACCTCAGCCTCCCAAAGTGCTGGGATTACAGGTGTGAGCCACCGCGCCCAGCCACAAATTATTTAAACTGAGAAATAAAAAACTTATTACTGAAGAGGACATACAAGCTTTAAGTGTGAGAAAGTATTATATGGCTAGAATGAACACTAAACTTTACTGCATTTCTTAAATGTGTATGTGCCAGGCATTATGTTAAGTCTTTTAGATATATTCTTAAACTTCACAGCTGTCCTGATGGTAATCTACCATTCACATTTTACATCTGAGAAACAGTATTTAAGAGAGAGAGAGATATCGATTGATCTTAGAGGTAACATAACTTCTCTAAGATTAGCTACTAAGTGGCAAAATCAGGACTCTGAAACACAGCATTGCCTGACCACAGAGCCTCTGCTTTTTAATGTCTTAGCATTTTGCCTGCTCAAATTAAATTGAGAATCCACTAGAAACTGTAAGTCTTATTGATGGTGGGCCAGTAGTATTTCCTGTGTATCTCCTACTGTATATTACTACACATGTAGTAGCTACCAAAAGATAGCTAACTAAAGGAAACCCACGCCCTACTGCAAAATAGAATAGCTTCAAGAAGAATGCATGATTTGGCCCATGGAAAACAGATCAAATGTTTTGATGAATGGCATGTATAATATCAGAGAAAAGTAACCCTGGAAGGAACTGTTATGTATGTCTTATTTTAAAATAATAGGAGCCCATGAAGAAATAACCATTCAAGAGTTATCAGTGATGAATATTAAAAAGCAGATATTTTACGTCTCAACTAAATGTTTAATCAAACAGGAACACTGAAGGTGCATGTAACTTTTTTATTGAGGCACAACAAGGCATTGTAACTTGCCTGGACTTGAGGCAGTCAGTTTAGTAAGCTGAACGTTAATACAGTTAAGGATTAAGTGCAAACAATATACATTCACAGCTTGACTAGCGAGGCTACATCACAATTTATAAAGTGCCAGATTAGTGCTAATTGTCATTCAGCTTGATTTTTCACCTTAGGAAGGAAAACAAAAAAGTAAGGACCTCCTCCTTCCTCTAGGAACAAAAACATTTTCCTAAACCAACCAGTCATGAAGGCAAGGACTACTTTTCCTTCAATCCCACTAATTAGAACACCATCTTTTTACTGTCAATACTGTACTGACTTTCAATCTTGATAAAGAAGATAGCCTGAAAACGTAGAATATTTCCAGCTACTTCCATAAATTGCTCCCCTGTGCAGACGTAACCATATCTGGTCTCCCTGGAACAGCTGAAGAATTGCATGATTGCTAGCAGTTTCATGGTCTGGAGCACCATCATTGGCATAGGCTGATACCAAGACCTCTTCATTCTTCATGAGGTTGACATACAGTGGCACATTCACTGCCAGCTTTAGCATGTGAAAAATGAAAACATAAGTGCCATTCACTGGGCAATTAAATCTACCAAGCTGAAGATCAAAAGTTTCTCCTAAGTTGTTCAGAAGAAGATCAAACACGATAGGTTGGTCTAAAGTTCCAGGGGCCAGATTAGAGGTTCTGGCTGCTGAGAAGGCAACTCGCATCTGCTGAGGCAGGGGGTAGACGTGTACTGGCAGTATGGTGGCTGCTGGATTTGTCACTGGCACATCCACAGGGGTCATGCTACGGGAGTCGCCTTGTCCAGAGTCACCACTGTTAAAGGTTTCGTTGTCTCTTTCTGGGCTGCTCACCTGAGAAGAATCACTCCACCCTGCTGTTTTATTAGCAACAGTGAGTTTCTCATAATGAAGCAGTTAGCTTTGAACACAATATTTAACATTAGTCGGCTACTGAAACAGACAAAGATACATTTTACAGTAAATTCCAAAACAAAAGCAATATATAGCTAGATTATACCTTTCTAGATTTTTCTGGCAATAGGTTTTTACAATACTCTTCTAAAGCCAGAAAGGTCCAAGATAATCTTGTCTAATTGATCCTTTTTAAAGATTAAGAAAATGTAGCCCCCAAAAGGCTAGATAACTTAGCAAAGTCTAAAACTCAGGTCTGAACACTTTTTACTTCATCTTCCTCCCATAATTCTTAATTTCTCAGAGATCATTCTACAAAGCAGCTAATGTAGAAGGTCTCAAGAAAATGGAGACTACATAAAAGAACCAATTTTTAGAACTACTAGCTACTAGCCATTCAGAGATAGACTGATATGAAACTAAGTCCCATGATGAACGCTTGGGTTTTTTTTGTTTCCAAGTCATACACTTTTAATGTTTTAAGTGCCATACAAAAACACTGCTCAGACTAAGGCAAAGGCAAACTGAATACTCGCTATTTTTTCAGAAGGAAAACATTGCTTTCCTGTGGCAAAGTTACTCTTCGATGATTTTTTTTCTCCCTTATACAAACTTTCAATAGTTCCTTCACATTTTAAAAAGTGTTATAAGTATGCTGCTTTTGTTTCAAGTCACGGTGTCTTAATTGTTGCTTATTTGAATCTATTAATGCAGTGACATTAAAGTAGAAGTACCCATTATTACAAAAACCACCATCCTGAATCATATGAAAAATATTTGAAATCAGCATAGTGAATATATAAGATTAAATATG